CTGTAATATATCAGCTATATACAGGCCAGTGATGACCCCTATATTGGCTGTAATATATCAGTTATATGCAGCCCTGTGATGAGCCCTATATTGGCTGTAATATATCAGCTATATGCAGCCCTGTGATGATTGGCTGTAATGTATCAGCTATATACAGGCCTGTGATGAGCCCTATATTGGCTGTTTTATATCAGCTATATACAGGCCTGTGATGAGCCCTATATTGGCTGTAATATATCAGTTATATGCAGCCCTGTGGTGAGCCCTATATTGGCTGTTTTATATCAGCTATATACAGGCCTGTGATGAGCCATATATTGGCTGTAATATATCAGCTAAATACAGGCCTGTGATGAGCCCTATATTGGCTGTAATATATCAGTTATATGCAGCCCTGTGATGAGCCCTATATTGGCTGTAATATATCAGTTATATACAGGCCTGTGATGAGCCCTATATTGGCTGTAATATATCAGTTATATACAGGCCTGTGATGAGCCCTATATTGGCTGTAATATATCAGTTATATGCAGCCCTGTGATGAGCCCTATATTGGCTGTTTTATATCAGCTATATACAGGCCTGTGATGAGCCCTATATTGGCTGTAATATATCAGTTATATACAGGCCTGTGATGAGCCCTATATTGGCTGTAATATATCAGTTATATGCAGCCCTGTGATGAGCCCTATATTGGCTGTTTTATATCAGCTATATACAGGCCTGTGATGAGCCCTATATTGGCTGTAATGTTATATGCAGCCCTGTGGATATATATTGGCTGTTTTATATCAGCTATATACAGGCCTGTGATGAGCCCTATATTGGCTGTAATATATCAGTTATATGCAGGCCTGTGATGAGCCCTATATTGGCTGTTTTATATCAGCTATATACAGGCCTGTGATGAGCCTTATATAGGCTGTTTTATATCAGCTATATACAGGCCTGTGATGAGCCATATATTGGCTGTAATATATCAGTTATATGCAGTCCTGTGATGAGCCCTATATTGGCTGTAACATATCAATTATATGCAGCCCTGTGATGAGCCCTATATTGGCTATTTTATATCAGCTATATACAGGCCTGTGATGAGCCCTATATTGGCTGTAATATATCAGTTATATGCAGCCCTGTGATGAGCCCTATATTGGCTGTAATATATCAGCTATGTAATATATATTGGCTGTAATATATCAGCTATATATAGAGGCTGTGATGAATAGCCATATATTGGCAGTAAATACAGGCCTGTGATGAACCCTATATTGGCTGTAATATATCAGTTATATGCAGCCCTGTAATATATCAGTTATATGCAGCCCTGTGATATTGGCTGTAATATATCAGCTAAATACAGGCCTGTGATGAACCCTATATTGGCTGTAATATATCAGTTATATGCAGGCCTGTGATGAGCCCTATATTGGCTGTAATATATCAGTTATATGCAGCCCTGTGATGAGCCCTATATTGGCTGTAATATATCAGCTAAATACAGGCCTGTGATGAACCCTATATTGGCTGTAATATATCAGTTATATGCAGCCCTGTGATGAGCCCTATATTGGCTGTTTTATATCAGCTATATACAGGCCTGTGATGAGCCCTATATTTCCTGTAATATATCAGTTATATGCAGCCCTGTGATGAGCCATATATTGGCTGTAATATATCAGTTATATGCAGTCCTGTGATGAGCCCTATATTGGCTGTAATATATCAATTATATGCAGCCCTGTGATGAGCCCTATATTGGCTGTTTTATATCAGCTATATACAGGCCTGTGATGAGCCCTATATTTCCTGTAATATATCAATTATATGCAGCCCTGTGATGAGCCCTATATTGGCTGTTTTATATCAGCTATATACAGGCCTGTGATGAGCCCTATATTGGCTGTAATATATCAGTTATATGCAGCCCTGTGATGAGCCCTATATTGACTGTTTTATATCAGCTATATACAGGCCTGTGATGAGACCTATATTTCCTGTAATATATCAATTATATGCAGCCCTGTGATGAGCCCTATATTGGCTCTTTTATATCAGCTATATACAGGCCTGTGATGAGCCCTATATTGGCTGTAATATATCAGTTATATGCAGCCCTGTGATGAGCCCTATATTGGCTGTTTTATATCAGCTATATACAGGCCTGTGATGAGCCATATATTAGCTGTAATATATCAGCTGTGTGATGAACCCTATATTTCCTGTAATATATCAGTTATATGCACGCCTGTGATAAGCCATATATTGGCTGTAATATATCAGTTATATGCAGCCCTGTGATGAGCCCTATATTGGCTGTTTTATATGAGCTATATACAGGCCTGTGATGAGCCCTATATTGGCTGTAATATATCAGTTATATGCAGCCCTGTGATGAGCCATATATTGGCTGTAATATATCAGTTATATGCAGGCCTGTGATGAGCCCTATATTGGCTGTAATATATCAGTTATATGCAGCCCTGTGATGAGCCCTATATTGGCTGTAATATATCAGTTATATACAGGCCTGTGATGAGCCATATATAGGCTGTTTTATATATATATACAGGCCTGTGATGAGCCATATATTGGCTGTAATATATCAGCTATATACAGCCCTGTGATGAGCCCTATATTGGCTGTGTAATATCATCTGTATACAGGCCTGTGAAAAGCCCTATAAAGCCTGTGATATATCAGCTATATACAGGCCTCTGATGAGCCCTGATATATCACCTATATACACTCCTATCTTGAACAGTATATTGGCTGTGATATATCAGTTATATACATGCCAGTGATAAGCCCTATATTTCTTGTGATATATCAGCTATACACAGTCCAGTGATAAGCCCTATATTTCTTGTGATATATCAGCTATATACAGGCCTGTGATGAGCCCTATATTGGCTGTGATATATCGGCTATATACAGGCCTGTGATAAACCCTATATTTCCTGTGATATATCAGTTATATACAGGCCAGTGATTAACCGTATATTTGTTGTGATATATTAGCTACATACAGTCCTGTGATAAGCCCTATGTTTGTTGTGATATATCAGTTATATACTTGCCGGTGATAACCCCTTTATTGGCTGTGTTATATCGGCTATATACAGGCCTCTGATAAGAACTATTTAGGCTGTGATATATCAGTTACATACTGGCCGGTGATCAGAATTATATTGGCCGTGTTTTATCAGCTATATACAGGCCTGTGATAAGCCTTATATTGGCTGTGATATATCAGCTATATACAGGCCTGTGATAAGCCTTTATATGCGCTGGTTTTTTATATATGCGATGTACAGGCCGGTGACAAGCCCTATATTTGTTGTGATATATCAACTATTTACAGTCCGGTGAGAAGAACTATATTTGTAGTGATATATCAATTATATACATGCCAGTGATGAGCCGTATATCGGATGTGATATATCAGCTATATACAGGCCTGTGATAAGCCCTCTATTTGCTGTGATATATCAGTTATTTACAGGCTAGTGATAAGCTCTATATTTGCTGTGATATATCTTCTATATACAGGCCGGTGATAAGCCCTATATTGGCTGTGATATGTCAGCTATATACAGGCCAGTGATAAGCCCTATATTGGCTGTGATATATCAGTAATATACAGGCCAGTGATAAACCCTTTATTGGCTGTGATATATTGGCTTTACAGGCATGTGATGAGCCCTATACTGGCTGTGACATATCAGCTATATACAGGCCGATGATGAGCCCTATATTTGCTGTAATATATAAGCTATATACAGGCCTGTGATCAGTCATGTATAGTCGGTGATATATAACCTATATACACGCCTATGATGAGCCGTATATTGGCTGTGATATATCAGCTATATACAGTCCAGTGATAAGCCCTATATTTCTTGTGATATATCAGCTATATACAGGCCTGTGATGAGCCCTATATTTGCTGTAATATATAAGCTATATACAGCCTGTGATATATCATATATCAATATATAGTGATAAGCCCCATATTGGCTCTAATATATAACCTATATACACGCCTATGATGAGCCGTATATTGGCTGTGATATATCAATTATATAGACAGGTGATAAGCCCCATATTGGCTGTGATATATCTGGTATATACAGGCCTGTGATAAGCCCTATATTGGCTGTGATATATCTGGTATATACAGGCCTGTGATAAGCCCTATATTGGCTGTGATATATCGGCTATATACAGGCCGGTGAGAAGCCCTATACTGGCTGTGATATTTTGGCTATATACAGGCCGGTGTAAGCCCTATATTGGCTGTGATATATCAGTTATATACAGGCCGGTGATCAGAACTATATTGGCTTCGATATATCGGCTGTATGCAGGCCTGTGATAAGCCCTATATTGGCTGTGATATATTGGCTATATACAGTCAGGTGATAAGCCTTATATTTGATTTAATATATTAGCTACATACAGGCCGGTAATAAAACTATTTACATGATGTGATTTACACCAGGTACTGCGCTGCTGGTACAGCATTAAAAAACTGTTAGGTGGTTTTAATTATTGTTGATCTAATTGTTTTATGTCATTACAACGTGCGTGGGTTACACGATTGTGGCGGGATAACTGAAGAATGACGCGTGGTTGTAGATTTTATCAGGGTCCTTTATTTCTACTCAATATGGTTGCACATATACACGTAGGTAATATCCGTATATGGGTTGATGTACCATCTATATGCAGGTCTGCTGGTATCCGCCCCACTTGTCGTCCTAGGTACTATTAGTGTTGTTAATAATGAGGGGCATATGGCCACAGCATGTCCTCACAAATCATTGTCTGATCTGTGTTCTGGCCGTCGATCACATTGTATTCCATACAGTCGTTGTTATATTCAGCTAGTCACTCGAGCGGCTGTCAGCTCGTTACGATCACATCCTCTACGCGTCAAGCAGCCCCCGCCCACTATCCATTGTGTTTCGTTTCGTTTTATTTCAACCACTCTCTGCCAATCCGGAAAGCAGTACCAACCCATTCATTGGTCGTTTAGAAGCCGTCTGCTAGCAAGTCTCACTCGTAACTGACTAACGTTTGCGACGGCGTATGCTATTTTCAAGGTAAGAACTGACTTTTAGTCAAAGAAAAATATTTAGTTATCTTTCCATACCAAAAGGATTGGAACTGTTTTTCACTTCTCAATATTTTTCAGACTCTAAAAATTGTCTCGTTTCATCACAGGCATTGACTTGCACAAACACATCAATCATCAGCGTTTTGTGTGTTATTATGTCCAGTTTTGTTAATGTACATATATAAGAATATACTTCAAAATCGAGCAGGATACGTTTGTTGCGAAATCAAAACACGAAGCGTCATTTTCTCGTTGCAAAAGCAGTCATCAGTTTTCTACAAGGACCATTTTCGAGCGTGTGGCATCGCTTGCCATGATCCAGCACACATGTGCCGCGTGCCATGTTCTGGTCGAAGGCCTTGGCTGACTTAGATTGCTGTCCATGTTAGGTGTGGATGTTCATCAACTCCATGTGTAATCACTGTTATTATAAATTAAAAAACAATCTCATATTAAACCTATTCGTCTTGAAATTCAATCCTATTCGTGCCATATAGCCAAATAAGTTTGGTCCGGGCAGAATGGAATTTGTCGTTTGAATGACCATGGAAAAATTAGCCTAAACAGAAAACAATTTGAATGTGAATTCCGGTTTTGTGAAATAGTAACAGTTATGCTCCAAAGTAAATTGTATAACCCGCGTCAGCAACCGTGTTTCGCACTGTAGAACATTGCATCAGCATGCGCTGATTCGTAAAAACATTCTAGGCCAGCGACCTGAGAGATTTACATCCAAAGGTCAGCGTTGTGATTTCTATACAGCCCTGCTGCTTTGAGGGATATAGTCACGACTGCTAGAGCGTGTTAGGCAGATTATGGTGAAGTGTTCAGTCGGCCCCGTGCCTGTCAGATGGTTAAATTTAATAGGTGCATGTTCCATATGTGTGTGTGCATGCACCAATAATAACTGCTTGCCACTGTGGTAAGAGTTCCTCATGTTCCCCCATCCCAAATAATATTTATAAATATACTAAAATTATTAACAAAACTTAACACAACAATTACTAGAGAACTCACAAAATGACTAAAAGTCCAAAATTTAAGTTAGGGTTAGGTTAGGTTAGGTTTAGGGAACAGAAGGAACTCTTTCCGCCACTGCCAACACAACATTGTTTGGTTGAATCCGAACTTTGCAACACTAACAAAACATTCCAAAACACATATTCAGGAGATATGTAACTGTTTTGAACTATGAGCAGTTTTACAGTTTGGGGGTGGACTTTTTGTAAGAATGCTACATGTAATACCAATTATTTACTCAATTTAACATAATGTTTATTGTCAGAATAACCCACTAAAAAGTCCATATTTTTGTAAAATCTAGGGTATATCATTATTTTATATGTAGTTTTCACACAGCCGGTGAGAAGTCAGTCACATGACATTCAAAAGTGTATAAACGACACACTTTGATGTTCATATGTTTTCATGAGAGTGTGTTCTCAAAGTGATGTAGCAGTTTTGCATACATTCAGATTGGTAAGAGGGTTTAACAAGAGCGCTGTTCCTGAATACCCTACCAACAACCTACCCTGAGAACAGAACAAAGAAATTCACATCCAGACTTGTAGACTTAATCCGTGTCTAGATTGACAAGTGACTAAAACTATGCATTTACCTGAGCATCTATTTGACACTCCTTTATGATCACCTTTCAATGTTCAGCCATTTGGTCAGTAATAACTAGGGAAACTTGTATTCACCACAGATTATATTTATTGTATCAGCCATCTTGTCATGAAAAAATGATGTAATTTATTATGAGTGCTTTACTTTTATACTGTTTGGCCATCACTCATGACATGCTATGGATAACAACTTCTGTTTATTCTTTATATGACATTTCAGAGCTAATTCTTGCTCCTTCATCAGGTGAATGATGAAACGTCATATGAAAAATATAAAGAAGTTGTTATCCATAATGTGTTATGTATTCATGTTCATCCAACTTCTAAATGCCTTTCAAGAACTTCATCAATTATTTTTGACATTCAGTTCAAGCTTAAAGCCGAATATGACCCTCTGAGCAAGTTTAGTTAAATTGATAACATACAACTGAATGGTCTCAAATATCTCAGACTTGAGTGAAAAACAAATCTGAACTATTTCTTCGATGAGATCACAGAATAATGTCACTGGAATGCCATGACGTCAGTATAATGGATGCCTCCATCGGACTACAAACGATTTCATTATTATTTTTTCTGTCTTACTCTTAGGAATGCCATGGAGCTTAAACAGATATATGAAATTATATATAGTTAGTGAGGCATGTCACCCTAATGTGTTTCTAGCCTTTAACTTGTTATGCTATTTAAAAGCCCTACACGCCTGTAGATACTATTACCTACAGTGACTTATAATATTAGGGAGAGAGAGATAAGTTGCTTATTATATTCTCAACCAATACATTTACAGAAAGTGAAGCAATTTTGCCTTGGTAGAATGCATTGGCCACCATAAAGGGTTATGAGTGAATTTTTATCCCCAGCAACGCGTTTTGCGGGGGGTATTAAAATGGACTGCGTGCGTGGCGTGCATAAGACAAAGCACGTTCACAGACAAAGTTATTTATTCATTAACCTGTGCTGTGCCGTCTCCATCCGTTCCCGAACACCTGGCTGTCCCTTTCTCTGCACTCCTCCCTCGTAACAAATAGTGAACTGTGTCAATATGTTAATGATAGATTGTTAAACAACTTTTTTATTTTTAGGACAAAAATTCTGCAAAAACCTCACAGAGTTGGAATGATGTTTTGATTATGATCAGCGTTTCATTGAGTATGTTATGTTTATTATTTTTCGAGTTAGATTGCAATTCATTGGTCCGCTTTTGAGCCAAACGGACTATAGAGTGTAGAAGTGATCTGTTGGGTTTAAATAGCCTTGTGTAAAGTCTGAAAATCTCAGGTCTTTGCTTGGTTATACAGGTTTTCCATCCCATCTATATAACAATGATGAGAATATTTATAATGTGCATTTTCCAGGCTTCATATCCTGCTCAAAGCGCACAATCTGATCATTATTAGCCAGGATAACCTAAGCTGCCTGTTAGGCGCTGGAAGGTTAATAGTCTCACGACATATTTTCTGCTGTGTGAACAGAGGCAATTTTGAACAAACTCACTTGCCTAAAGTGAAACACAGGGTGCTTCGTTGTGGGGCAGGACTGAAGCCCTAGAAACTCTCAGGAGTCAAGCTGCCAGACACGGTCACCCATCCAAGGACTCTCCACGCCAAACGTTGCTAAACTTCAAGTGATTGTGACCTGAGTGCTATGCACAGTGACGTGACATCATGAACAATGCTATGACGTCACGTTTCTTCTATGACGTTGCGTTTTACTTGGGGTGACGGCAGGTAGCCAGCCTATGTTTGAAAGTAGATTTGGGTTTATGTTCCTCAATTTGAAGTCTTCGGTAATATGTAGAATATCATCTTCGTGCCAATATCATACTATGTTTACGACACTGGTGCCTAAATATCAGTATATCCCCTGCTCTTGCTCGGGAAATGCCAACATTTAGGCACTCGTGTCGTAAACATAGTATGACATAGGAACTCAAATACAGTGTTTCTGGTGATTTTCAAATTTACCAGTCCATGGGACTGTTAAGCCACAAATAAATCAGTCCGTTATTATTTTTACCAGTCCACTTCTTTTCCATTTTAATAAAGATAAAACAATGCTATGTGTGTGTTTGTGTTTCATTTTATAATAGGAATAAACATATTAAATTACAATCGAACATGAAATAAGATATAACAGTAATTGCTGCATGTTTTGTTACCAAAACTAAATCACAACACACCCGCTTATGATTGTCATACCATATCCATGGAAATTCCTCTTTTTTCTGGATTTTAAATTTTTTGATTTCATGGATTGTTTTGCTGGAATATAAGTTTATCCTTCTTGCCCCGATAGAGCATTGTCATATGATACATAATAGCCTCACGCCAAAATGCCTCTCACATAATAAACATTTGGGTCAAGGTTAAGCGAGATGTCTAGCCAATCACAATAATCGTCAGTGGTTGTTACTTAAAATAGACAGGGAATTCCATACACGTATCATATATGGTGCGGATAGATAAAATGTACTTGGCAGTTTCCTAACAGTTTCTACCGTCTCCGTGGTGTAGTGGTTAGAGCGTCCGCCTGGAGAGCGGAAGGCCGCGGGTTCGATCCCCGACCACGTCATACCAAAAGACGTTAAAATATGGTACTGGTTGGTCCCTGCCTGGGGCTCGGCATTAATGGGTACAACAAGGACTGGTCGGCTTGGAGTCAGTATAATGTGTCTGAGTGGGGTATTCATGCTTCACTGCGGCATGGTATCTCAGTGGGCTAGTACTATAAATCCAGCTGGGCTAGTACAAGCAGCCGCACATACCCATACACACGCATGCACGTCGTCATATGAGCGAAATATTCTCAAGCACGACGTAAAACCCAATTTCACGTCACCTCACCTCACCTAACAGTTTCTTAACAGTTGCTGGTAATTTTCATTGCCTACTAGTATTTAGTGGAAATAATTTAACCAGGTAAATGTATTACCTGTCCCCAGGACTTGTTTGCCATAAATATACCGGTCATGTGACTTTTTAGCCGGTAAAATACTGGCATATGCCGGTAAAAGGAAACAGTGATATAATATCCTCTATTATCAACATGAATTCCACAAGTTAGAGCATTTATATCCTCCACAAGGTCATTACAAAGAATTGAGTGGGGGGTAAGGAGCAGCTCTGTTTTACACCATTATTTATATCAAACATTGGGCTCATATGACCATTAACCGGCACAGAACATTTTACATCTTCATACAGTGACCTGATTGATGAATATATTTTTCCACCAATTCCACTTTGACATAACTTAAACCACAGACAGTCACGGTTCACATTGTCAAAACCTTTTTCAGGTCAATGAAACTTGCAAAAGTGCTTTGTTTTGCTATCTTTCTGTCTTTGACGATTGT